GATGGATGGAGGATGGATGGATGGAGGATGGAGGATGGATGGAGGGTGGATGGAGGATGGGTCATGGATGGAGGATGGATGATGATGGATGGAGGATGGATGGAGGATGGGTGATGGATGGAGGATGGATGATGGATGATCATGGATGGAGGATGGATGGAGGGTGGATGATGGATGGAGGATGGGTGATGAATCTAGGATGGATCTAGGATGGATGAAAGGAGGGGGATAATGAATGATGGATGGATGGATGGATGATGGAAGTTGAATGCATGGATGATGGATGATGGATGGATGGAAGATGATGATGGAGAGAAAATGAATGGATAGAAGATGAGTGGATGATGGAAGATGGGTGGATGATGGATGGATGGAAGGCAGATGATGAATGGATGAATCTGTCATGGATGAATGATAGGTGGAGGATGGATGATGGAAGATGGATGGATGATGCATGGTGGCTGATGGATGGGTGATGGATGGTGGGTAGATGATGGATCTATGATGGATGATGGATCTAGGATGGATGGAAGATGATGGATGATGGAGGATGGATGGTGGGTGGATGATGGATGATGCATGGATCAGGGTTGAATGATGGATGATGGATAAATAGATGACGGCTGATGGATGATGAAAGATGATGAATGGATGAGTAAATGAATGATGGATGATGGATCTAGGATGGATGGATGATGAATGATGAAGGATGGATGATGGATGATGGTGGTTGGATGATGGATGATGGTGGTTTGATGATGAATGAATGGATGATGGATGATGGATGATGGATGGTGGAAGATGATGGATGATGGGTGAATGACAGATGGATCTATGATGGATGCATTGATGAGTGAAGGATTGATAGATGGGTGATGAAGAGGTGCAGGATGAATGGAGGATGAATAAATGGAAGATGGATGGTTGAATGGATGGATGGATGATGGATGAGTTGATGGATGGAAGATGGATTATGATGGATAATGGATGGATGATGGATCTATGATGGATGGACGGATAGAGGATGAATGGTGGACAGATGCAGGATGGATGGAGGATGGCTAAGTGGAAGATGGATAGATGGATGGAGGGCAGATGGGTGGAGGATAGAGGGATGATGCATGGATGGATGGATGGAGAATGGATGGACAGATGGAGTCAGGTAGAGGACAGATGGTGGTTGGACAGACACGTGAAGGATGGATGGAGAAGTATGGGCAGACATACGGGGGATGTATGAAGGATGTTGGGAGAACAGATAGAGAAGGGATGGAGATTGGATGAAGAACAGATGGATGGAGGATGGATGGATGGAGGATGGATGAACGGACAGAAGATGGAGGCAGGACACAAGGATGCACGTAGGGTGGGCTGGGCCAGGGTGGGCTGCCCTGACGGCCGTGGGCAGGACTTCCTGTCGGACATGGCCATGACGGAGGTGGACCGCTTCATGGACCGGGAGCACCTGATCTTCCGGGAAAACACCCTCGCCACGAAAGCCATAGAGGAGTACCTGAAACTCATCGGCCAGAAATACCTCAAGGATGCCATCGGTGAGCTCCACCACCTCCGGGGGTCTCCATCATGGCCAGGGGTCCTCATCTTGGCCAGGGCTCTGTTGGCATGACCAGGGGATGGTTGGGTGGTCCCTTCTCATGGCCATGGGGTGGTTGAGTGGTCCCCTCTCATGATCATGAGATGTTGGGTGGTCCCTCCTCATGGCCATGTCCCCATTAGGGTACAACTGAGTGGTCCCCAGTCCCTGCTCATAGCCAGGTCCTCATGGGCATGGCCAGGTGCTGGTTGAGTGGTCCCTTCTCATGGCCATGGGGTGGTTGAGTGGTCCCTTCTCATGGCCATGGGGTGGTTGAGTGGTCCCCTCTCATGGTCATGAGATATTGGATGGTCCCTCCTCATGGCCATGTCCCCATCGAGGTGGCCTGGCCGTGGGACAATGGGGGTGCTCCCCGGTCCCCCGTAACGTCCCCGTACCCCCCAGGTGAGTTCATCCGGGCGCTGTACGAGTCAGAGGAGAACTGCGAGGTGGACCCCATGAAGTGCTCGGCCTCCACCTTGGCCGACCACCAGGCCAACCTCCGCATGTGCTGCGAGCTGGCCCT